GTCATGACCCACCAGAGTGGAGGAGTTGGGATTTAGTGATGAACCCCTCCACTCCGGTGTAGAAAGCTGGGAGGGAGTGAGGGTGGGATGTGGGGTAGGGGACCAGGGTGGAGGGTACAGGGGGCGGGGCGGAGGGCGGGGCCGAGCGGGGCTGTTGTGACCCCGTAGTTGGGGAAGACAGCTGGAGGGGAGGCGGGTCTATGAAAACCCTGCCCCCCACTGCGGGGAGACAGGGTTGGATGGAAGTGGGGAGGCTGTTCTGAGTCCTCCTCTGCCCCAGGTGGGCAGGCTACGGGATTCCATAATGAGCCTCTTGGGAACAGAGGCGAAGGGAGGGGGAAGGGATTGTCCGAAATCTCCGCAGGAGTAAGGCGGGACGGAGCTCAGTGTGGGAGCACGTAGAAAACTGCCTGGGTTTTAAGCACTCCTCTGGGGGCACGCGAGGTTGCGGGGCTGTTCTGAGCTCCCATGATGAAGAGGGGTGGACGCAAAGTGGGGAGGGGGAGGGGTGATGTCTGCTCTGAGCCCACCCCCAAGAGTGCTCAGGGCAGAGGGGCTGTGATGAGATCCCCAGGAAGAAGCGGGACAGGACCTGGGGAGTTCGTTCTGATCCCCATGCCGAGGAGGGTGGGAGCTAGGATGGAGCGAGTGGCAGGGGGATTTCAGTCGTGAGACATCCTCTCACCCCCAGGGGCCAGGTGCGCGTCTGAGCCTCCCCGGCCAGGGCGATAAAGTAGGGAGAGCTTTTCAAGGATCTCTATAAATATTTCTGAGACCTGGCTGAGGGTGAGTAGTTAATGGCTCCAAAAATGAGAAAATGCAAACGAAAATAGAACAAACGTACTGAAAACGCCAAGTTGCCCACATATTTCACACGCAAAATCACAGCAATCCTTTAACAACAGATTTCTGTTACACGGGATGCATTTCAATATTTGGTACCACGTGCGCTGGGGTCCGGGCTGCCAGCGGGAGCCAAGTCTCCCAGGTCTCCCGTGTCCCCCCTCGTGGACCCGGGGCATCATCATCAGGGGAGACAGCAGAATATAGAAATCAAAAGCTCCAATCTAGAACTATCTCCTCGCTTTCTGACTGTGAGATCACCTCCCTTATCTAAACCTAAAAGCCAGGTCTTCCCAGGCAGGTCAGCGGAGAAGGCGGAGCAGGTGCTCGCTCCGCACACGAACTGCTTGGTTTGGCCTCTGGCGCCCCCTAGGGGCAGAATGAGATGGCACATCTTCGGGGCGTGGCCTAACATGCAAATGACATGCAAACCCCTCCTCTCGTGCCCAGTCTCCGGAAAGGGTTTCCTAGGAGGCCACGCGTGTCTGCGGAAACTAGCAAACATAACTACTGTGAGCGGGAATCTGGCTGACTGGAGGAAAGAGGCTGGGGGCCTGGGAAGCCAGAGGGGCCTGAATACCGAACGACCGCCTCATTTCATGCCCACCTCCACTCCCAACCTCCAGGTTGGAAAATGGAGGCTCAGGACCCTGGTGCTGCCTGACGCTTCATGAAGCCTCTGATGCTTCCAACAGCCCTCTCTGGACTTCACTAGGCGCATCTGTGAAATGGGTGCATTGAGGCTGGGTGTGGTGGCTCACGCCTGTAATCCCAGCACTTTGGGAGGCTGAGGTGGGTGGATCACGAGGTCAGGAGTTTGAGATCAGCCTGGCCAGGATGGTGAAACCCTGTCTCTTAAAAAA